ACAAAGTTTATGTACCACCACTTCCAGTAAACGCCAATTACATGAAAGATTGAATAACAGCTACAATCAACACGGTGGACTAAGACATCCTGAGGCGTGTTTTGGAGGAATTCTCATACTCATATCGGCTTGATGTTGTCCGGCTGCTGGTGGTGGACACATTGAGAACTCGTAAAACATGATATAAAAACTTGAAGGTATCATAATGTATAACACATGTGTCCAAGCTAGAGTTTGCTTTTTGGGGGTATTCCCTTCGAATCACCCTATATAATATTTCGTTCCCTGGCTGAGGTAGGGCAAACAAAGAGATTAAATTTCTAGCAGCTAGGAGTCGTTTTGACGGACCAGTGCATTTCTCATTACATCTGGTTTCGCCGTATGCCTGGTTTCGCTATATGAATGAACGAAGAAGAAGTTGAGAGGATTTTTAAAAAATTATTTCTTACAAAAATGTTCATTTAAAGTTTTGCGATGCTTGCAACCGCATAATGAGAGTGTTCACAAGGGAGCATAACTAAATGGCAGAAAAAGAGTTACAGTTACATGCTTTTTCATGAAAATATATGAACAGTTTTGCGATGAAATGCGACCAACGCCACTCCCCCTTTTTCCTTTAAAGAATAAAATACCGTGTCGACATTGAAAACAAGATTTGTTTGTTTTCCGCATCTTAATTTAATGCCGCCAAGCAGACTTTAGTTAGACCATCATTTTATTCGCAGACAGTATCAAGCTCATTTATTAATTTGCTTATTCACAAATAACTTTGCAAACCATTCCTCTATGCCAGCGACCAATGACTTTTTTAAAACCTTGATCCAGCAGTAGAAAGTTTCAGTACTTGGGCCCCTGCGGGTGGTTGGAGGGCGCCCCTGGTTGGTCTTGCTTCACTACTTCTTTACTTTCCCTCAGCTGTTTCTGTCTGTTTTACTTTTTCCCCAGCACTTAAATGACCATTATTGTGTCGATAAGCTTCTCTCTATTCAATCAAACAAACAAATAAGCAAACATGCAAATAAACAAACATAGAAACCGCCATGGGTGCATACAAATGGTTTAGAGTAACCTCGCCTAAAGATTGCTCTTAATTTGAGACCGCAACACAACCCTGCCCCCGCCCCCACAGTTATGTGTTAGCTGGCAGCTTATCTCCCAAGACTGTTTTGACTTCTTGACTTCTGAACGCTCGAAAAACACGGTAGACTACTCATCCTGCGCGTTTCCCAGGCGCGCATTTGAGTGCTGTGTTGATGAAAATAGGCCAACTTTTGACGTTTAAGTAAGTGGGTCAAAGTGTGGTATTGATAAAAGTAGGTCAATTTCTGATACTTGAGGTGGATATTTTGTAAACCCCCTAGTATTTTTTGTACCCGTTTTAGGTTATAACTTTTTTACTTTTATCTGTTCGCATTTTTTTAAATCTAGGCTAGCTTGGTTATTAATTAATTCGTCTACGCTCACGAAACTTTGCATAACACTTCTGCAGGCCAACGACCCGACAACACTTTTTTTGGGCCCAAAAATCTTAATCTAGTAATAAAAATGTTTCTCTATTTGAGCCGTATGTCTATGTTTTTGAGTGTATGCTGTAATTCTCATATAATTTTTTTACCCGTTTTTTTTTTTTTTTTGGGGGGGGGGGGGGTAACACCAAAGGAGGCGTTTTGGAAACAAAGTTTGCAGTGACCTTTATGAGTGGGCTTTTAGATTTTGTTGGTTATCCAACTTTTAGACCCGTATGCAAAGATTCGAGCAGATTAAACGGAGCGATTTGATTTGTGCTCGTTTTAACCGTGGTTAGACGAAAGTGAACAAGATAGCACAAAGAAAACCTGTCGTAGCCTACGTTTTTTGGAAGATCTAATTTTGTTTCACGGCGCTCTCAATTACATAAGATCATATGATCGCACGGGACACACCTAACATTTTCAGTTGGTAGGAAATTTTGAATTTTGCACGGGTGGCGGCCGAAGCCTACTCTTATCAATTTTGGACCGCCAAAGGATCTTTAACGTACGCAACTTGCACACGGGACCTCCGAGATTTTTCGCCCTTGTCCGAGAAGGCTAGGTGTAGATCTTTCCTACCAGAAGATCAGGGGTGTGGCAGAAAGACAACAGTAAAAAGAAGCCAAGGAGAAGCAGTAGAAAGTACTAGAAAGGCTGCAGAAGGAGTTAGGAGCCCAGAAGAGGGGCAGAGGAGGTGAGGGGGTGGGGGCAGAAAAAGGAGACGAAAGCAGACGACAGAACATTGCTAGAGAGCAGGAAAGGAGGTGAAAGGAGACAATTATAGAGAAGAACGTTTTCCGTCGGTATCCGGATTTGAACCCAGGACCTATTGAAAGAGAGGCGAACACCTTTGACTCCTAGGCCACGAGAGCCCCCGAACCTACGTTTGCAGTGACAGATTCTGCTGAAAACCTGACAAGATGAAACAGAACGTTTTGATTTTTTTCCCGTTTCAACCGCGGACAGACGAAGGCGATCATTTTGTAGGTTTGATTTTTTAAAGATTGAACTCTTCTTCTGACACTGGGAAAGGTTGTTGGGCCGAATTACAGCGTTTCCAAAGCATTAAGATGAACACGGGTGTTTTCATCCGGCTTATAATAAACGCATGATGTAAGAAACCCATGCAGAGAAGTGCTTTTTTTTCTTTTGTAAGTGTTTTACACGGCCCTCGCAACAACATAAGGTTATATGAGCCGGGGGGACATACCAAACATTTTCATTTGGTAGAACATTTTGAGCTTTTCCCGGTTGGCTGCGGAAGCCTACTCTTAACGATTTTAGACCATCAAGGGATCTGTAACGTGCGCAACTTGCACACAGGACCTCCGGGATTTTTTTACCCTTATCCGAGAAGGCTTGGTGTTAGATCTTACCTACCATAAGATCAAGGATGTGGATGAAAGACAGCTGCGAGAAGCAGCCAAGGAGTAGCCGCAGAAAGGCTGCAGAAAGAGTCAGGAACCCAGAAAAGGGGGAAAGGGGAGGGGGCAGAAAGGGGAGACGAAAGCAGACGACAGAACATGGTAATAGAGCAGGAAAGGAGGTGAAAGAAAAACTGTTTAGCCTAGAGAAGAACATTTTCCGTCGCTGTACGGATTCGAACCCTGGCCTTATTGAATGAGAGGCAAACACCACGACCTCTAAACCACGAGACCCTCCGATGATGGTAATGTTATTTTTACTAGTCGATTGAATAGAATAATAATCATGAATATAATGCACTAAAAAGGAAAGATTGTTGCGATGATATATTTATTTAAAAATTATGAAAAGAAAACGTGAATAAAACCTCTATTAGAGCAACGAGAGAGAGGAAGAGAGAGAGAGAGAGAGAGAGAGAGAGAGAGAGC